TTGTTTTGGTGGCGTGACTACCCAAATAATGTACATGATTATTTTTTTCCCGAAAGAAATACCTCAACAACCAGAAGAAAGTAAGGGCCTGTTTGGCTGATATTAAAGCCGGTTGAAACTATTTTATTATGAGAAAAAAATAGTCGGCTGATAAATTTAAGCGAACAGGGGCAGAAGAACCTCACACTCCATTAATCTAGTACGGCTTGATTTATCTCCAAAAGGCAGATCCGAAGGCCGGCCGCTTGCATGCATCTCAAAGGCGTGGACCGAGGCATGCACATTCACAGCGTGCTCTGCTCCAGTGCACCTGTCCTCTGCACCAAAACGTGTAGGCGTAGCGATTCTGCGTCCTCCCGTACAGTCGTGCACAACGGCACGAGGCAACAAGGCCAAGGCGCACGCACCACCTCATCTCTGACCCGAGCCTTTCATTGCCATACGGTAAAAATTCCCGCGCGAACGCGGTGCACGGTGGACCGATCCCAGCCGGCCCCAGAGGAGGCCCGCGCGGCAGCAGCTCTGGTCCACAAACACTCGGGCTTCACAGTGATCTCCCAGGGAGCAGCACATGGCGCTGCCTGGCACGTGGCAGCAGCGGGCTCGCTCGCGTTCGTGTCGCGATGAGGATTGGGGCTTGGGGCCCTCCGCCGTCCGGCCTCGTGAACCTGTGGCTCGTCGAGGACGGGGCCGGCGAAACCGGATCCGTTGCGCGGATCGCAAAGCGCGTGGGGGCTCGCCGGCGACCGTCCGTGGCCCACGGCAGCTCAGCGCGCCTGTGATTGGATTAGCACGTAACTGTGCGCAGCAGAAACAATGGATGCCACGGAATATTTAAACAAAAATAAGTGGGAGGCTGGGTCCAACGATTTGCCCATGACCGGATGCCTTTTGTACCAAGCAGCCATGTTTGCCTCCCTGTGGCCTGCGTCAAATATCTACAGCAACCACTGTCTTTTTTAGACGAAAAGGCACGTGTTTTAGTTTAGTTATTTATAATTCGGGGAGGTTGGCCAAAAGTATGGACGCAAGTGAAAACAAATACAGTATATGGTCATAGCATGGATCACGGTAATGAGGAGTGTCATAGTAAGTAGGTGGCGAACTCGCTAGTGTCCGTGATGGTTCCATGGTTTAGTTTGGAATGCTTAGGCCAACTGTTGGTGTAATGATGGGCTGGCTACTACTGCTTGAGGCAAGAGTGGCTCCAACAAACATTAGCAATATTATGATGATGAACCCAAAAATGTTTTAGAGCAAAACAGGCCACTAGTCTTTGACAAATGTACAAGATTATTTAAGTTTTAAATTTCCAGAGACACTTAGACAATAATTCTATCGAGCTTAAAACAAAACTGAAGGATATCTAGATCTCCCTTTGGTAGAAATCGTGCAGCCACCCCAAAGGAGTGGAATAAAAAGTAATTATTTGGTCGATGATGTATGGAGTTGGTGCAAATAGATGTATTTAGCGGGACATCAAGAGAGAACAATTACAATCAAACAAATAAACATTTAAAAATGTTTCATGTATACAATAAAAACTAACTACACATGCTATTTAACACAGATCACATAGTTGGTTATATATATTCAACAATGTTAAAAGAAACCCTCACGTTTGTCAGGAGAGCAGAAATTAAGAGATTACTTAAAAAGAGAAAGATTATACACCATTGAATTTTATTATGAACAACAATCTATATTAAACCAAGGAGCCCATAACAAACACAACACCATGTTTCACATCTCAACAAAGTGAAATATCATAATCCAATTATAATACTGAAAGAAAGTACCTAGCCAGTCTAAAAAAAGAAAATTATCATGCAAAAATGAAATAAACAACATTATTAGAAACAAAAAGAAATACAATCATGAGCAAATAAGGATGGAATGGGAAACAAAGAGCATGTTCCGATCATTGGGGTAGCGGCTATGCAAAGTTCGGAATGACGATGATGAACATAGCAAAAAGAGAGAAAAAACTTAAACATATTTAGTTATACTTACAATCAAAGATATCATAGTTCTAAATCATATGGTAGGGGGTCTATGAATAATATAATTAGTAAACAATAAATGTGAAATTACAAATTAGACTAGAAAAATATATAAATAAAAAAGTTCATGTAAAACACAACCAGTAAAGAAAATTGAATAAAAATAGGAAGAGTTAATAGCTTGAACTCCAAATAAATCATATAGAAAGATACCAAAATTTTTACATAAAATATAAATATTAAGTAGCTACATTTAAAAATAAATGTTGTACACAAAATTAATTTGGTTTTCATATGTTCAAAAAATATCTAAATAAAATAGTTAATGTGTGTCATTGTATTAATAAGAAAAGCTGAAAAAATGTATTTCTTTCACTCTTTATAACTAGAAACTACAATATAGACTTTATATATGAAAATTGTAATAGTTTATTCTATCAAAAGTTATAAGAATAAAAGATAAATAAAGACTACAATGCATGCAAAACATGTATAAAAAGTAATAGTAGTATACAATTCATTTAATGGCATAACTAAAATTTTGCAAAGGTAATAAAAAACAAAAGAAAAAACATAGAGGACGTCTATGAGAAGTATTGCACTGATGCATATGAGCTATCCAAGGAAATCACTAATGTCGTGGCACACCAAGAAAAATCTTTGAAACATGCCGCACCCCCACCCCTCTTCTCCACCTTCGGCGCTCTATGTTTTGCCATATCAACATGTCCAACATTGTGGATGGATCTGGTTATGTTTTGCGGCAAAAAGGTAACTATGAATATGCAATTGAATGTAGTACAAGACAATCTGAAGTTTATATTTATAAGAGGGCCAAGGAATTAAACAATTTCTAGGTGACTTGGGTGTGATTTTATTGAGTACTGAAGCTCACCAGAGTGAAATTGAAAGACTACCTTAATTTGGCATCAACAGAAATTGCTCATCCATGTGATTGGAGTGGGAAGGAAAGTAAGATGAGAGAGAGACAATAATAGGCATAAGCCAAGATATTATCGGCGATAGCTACACGGAGTTTATGCGGATAGATGCAATGGAGCACATGTAGAAAGAACCAATACAAATAAAGAAAGAAAGAAAACTATTATCAAAAAAATAATTTAAAGTTAGAAAATTTCAAATATTATAGTGAAAAATCTAACTATTCATAATATTTGCATGGGGCACCTAACTAGTTTTAATACACTAGCTAGTTGTTTGACTATACGTGTTTCACGATCATCAAAGTCTTTCCATACACCTTTAATGAAATCAATCTAAGACTAAAGACAATGTGTTTCAAAATAACAACAGTAACACAGAATATTGGTCGAATGTAATCAGTACTGTCCATAACCATATGTATAACTGGTTGCACCAGATCATTAAAAAAATGAAGCATAAGTTACATTAAATTTGAATTTATAAGGAATGCAATGTTAGTCATCAACTGTGTGTATTAAGATGCATAAACAACTTATCTGGCTTTATACTGAATGATGTTCTGTATAGTACAATTGTCTAAAGTCTTATACATAGTACCTTTGAAAATTCCTTTGCAGGTATGAAAAGTCCCAAATAAGACTCCCAGCCAAAATGTCATGGCAAGGTCCTTTGCTCTAATTACTGGTTCTTGGACTTATTCTGCTATCATTTTTTCCAAGGCTTCATGCTATTCTCTTTGAGTTTTGCCCTTTCCAAATGCTCCTACTATGTCTCGTTTGGCATGGCTCTAGCTCCTTGCTACCCTACGTAGAAGAGCTGGAACCGATGAAGCAAAAAATATGGATTTTATATGCTCCTAATTTGTTTTAAGATGATAGATAAAAATGCCTCCTTGCAATAATGCATGGAGGAGCCACAAACAAAGCTAGTCGGAGCTCTACCAAACATTATCCTCTCTCTAGCACATTAATTTTTTTTATAAGGGCACATTAAAATTTTTTAATGTCTAGAGGTAGCTCTATTGAGCCCACAATGCAACGTGAAAACCCTCGGTTCGACCTAGACCTAGCTTTGACCAATTTACAAACTACATGAGCGACATTCAACTGAACCAGGACAAGAATGTTAGACAAAACTTAGGAATTCTTACTTTGCAAAGGGTCCTATCAATAAGCTTGGATGATCTGTGTTTTCCCCCCAAAATTTAGATCCTTTCCACAAAATAACTATTTTTGGTTTCAAAGCTTAATTAGTATTTTAAACTTTAATGGATTCACGTTCGACATGATTTGGGCCACAAAGATGTATGAATTCTGACTGTGACAGAATGCATACTCCTAGATGAATCTAATTACAGAAGGCAGGGAAAGAGTACTGTTTTTTTTGCTAGAAAAGGGTAGGCTGCATCCTTTTAAATAATTACGTCGACGGTCGATATTTGGGGAATTTTGCCTGGTAGTCCAAGCCTCCAAGGCGCCTTCCCCACTCGCGGCATTTCTCTAGCCGCAGGCTGAACTACAGAGTTTAGTTCCACAAGCTACAAAGTTCGGCTCGCCATTGGCTTGCAAGATGGAGAAGTGAGCAGTGGACGCAGCTCCCCACTTCTCATCGCCCTCTTTTTAATTTGTGGCGATCTTTAGGGTGGTGAGCGGAGGATTTCTAACTGGATGGTGAAGTTTGTCTGGTCAAAAGGACGGGCGCGACGAATCCGTCCATCCATCCAACGCTGTGCGCGCGTTGGAGGAGGGACCTGCCAGGGCCCCACCTGCAGCGAGAGACTATAGATAGATGCCTTCCTCTCTGATCACCTGATGGCTGATGCCTTCGCGGCCGTCTTCGCCTGCCGCTGCTGCTACTACTACTACTTCCCCTGCTCGCTTCCCCCGTCTCCTCTCGCCCCAGGCCCCAGCCGCTTCCCTCCCCCTCCCCTTCCCCTTTCCTTCCGCACTCCCACTTCCCAACCCTGGATCCAAATCCCAAGCTATCCCAGAACCGAAACCGAGGCGCGCAAGTAATTATTAGCTGGCTAGCTAGGCCTGTAGCTCGGAGATCATGAAGCGGGAGTACCAAGACGCCGGCGGGAGCGGCGGCAACATGGGCTCCTCCAAGGACAAGATGATGGTGGCGGCGGCAGGGGCAGGGGAGCAGGAGGAGGAGGAGCTGGACGAGATGCTGGCCGCGCTCGGGTACAAGGTGCGTTCGTCGGATATGGCGGACGTCGCACAGAAGCTGGAGCAGCTCGAGATGGCCATGGGGATGGGCGGCGTTGGCGGCGCCGGCGCTACCGCTGATGACGCTTCATCTCCCACCTCGCCACGGACACCGTGCACTACAATCCCTCCGACCTGTCGTCCTGGGTCGAGAGCATGCTGTCCGAGCTCAACGCGCCCCCGCCGCCGCTCCCGCCCGCGACGCCGCTGGCCCCGAGGCTCGCGTCCACCTCGTCCACCGTCACAAGTGGCGCCGCCGCCGGTGCTGGCTACTTTGATCTCCCGCCCGCCGTCGACTCGTCCAGCAGCACCTACGCCCTGAAGCAGCTCCACGGACTCGACACGGGAGCCCAAGCGGATGCGGACTGGCGGCGGCAGCACGTCGTCTTCCTCTTCCTCGTCGTCATCCATGGATGGCGGTCGCACTAGGAGCTCCGTGGTCGAAGCTGCCCCACCCGCGACGCAAGCGTCCGCGGCGGCCAACGGGCCCGCGGTGCCGGTGGTGGTGATGGACACGCAGGAGGCTGGGATCCGGCTCGTGCACGCGCTGCTGGCGTGCGCGGAGGCCGTGCAGCAGGAGAACTTCTCTGCGGCGGACGCGCTGGTGAAGCAGATCCCCATGCTGGCCTCGTCGCAGGGCGGTGCCATGCGCAAGGTGGCCGCCTACTTCGGCGAGGCGCTTGCTCGCCGCGTGTATCGCTTCCGCCCGACGCCGGACAGCTCCCTCCTCGACGCCGCCGTCGCCGACTTCCTACACGCGCACTTCTACGAGTCCTGCCCCTACCTCAAGTTCGCCCACTTCACCGCGAACCAGGCCATCCTCGAGGCTTTCGCCGGCTGCCGCCGCGTCCACGTCGTCGACTTCGGCATCAAGCATGGGTTGCAGTGGCCGGCTCTTCTCCAGGCCCTCGCCCTCCGCCCTGGCGGGCCCCCATCGTTCCGACTCACCGGCGTCGGCCCACCGCAGCACGACGAGACCGACGCCTTGCAGCAGGTGGGTTGGAAACTTGCCCAGTTCGCGCACACCATCCGCGTCGACTTCCAGTACCGTGGCCTCGTCGCCGCCACGCTCGCTGACCTGGAGCCGTTCATGCTGCAACCGGAGGGCGACGACAAGGATGAGGAGCCCGAGGTGATCGCCGTCAACTCAGTGTTCGAGCTGCATCGGCTGCTCGCGCAGCCCGGCGCCCTGGAGAAGGTCCTGGGCACGGTGCGCGCGGTGCGGCCGAGGATCGTGACCGTGGTCGAGCAGGAGGCCAACCACAACTCCGGCACATTCCTTGACCGCTTCACGGAGTCGCTGCACTACTATTCCACCATGTTCGATTCTCTCGAGGGCGCCGGCTCCGGCCAATCCACCGATGCCTCTCCGGCCGCGGCCGGCGGCACGGACCAGGTCATGTCCGAGGTGTACCTGGGCCGGCAGATCTGCAACGTCGTGGCATGTGAGGGCGCGGAGCGCACGGAGCGCCACGAGACGCTGGGTCAGTGGCGCAGCCGCCTCGGCGGCTCCGGGTTCGAGCCCGTGCACCTGGGCTCCAATGCCTACAGGCAGGCGAGCACGCTGCTGGCACTCTTCAACGGCGGCGACGGGTACAAGGTGGAGGAGAAGGATGGGTGCCTGACCCTGGGGTGGCATACGCGCCCGCTCATCGCCACCTCGGCGTGGCACCTCGCCGCTCCATGATCGAGGGGTGGGGTTTTGGACGCTGATCAAGGCACACGTCCCCCGGCCCGGGCATGGCGCACCCTCCCCGAGCTCGCCGGCACAGTTGAAGCTAGACGTCAATGAACGCTGAATTGCAGTTATTAGGCGACCGGGCCACGGTTCTCGCCGGCGTGATGAGATGGACACTTCGACTCCGACCGGATCGGCCTGTGTTCGTTCTTGTTTCCGATCCCCCTCTCTCCCCGTTGCTTCAATCCGTCAACTATGGTAGCCCGTAGCCTATTGTTATGTTTAAATGTCTATTATTATTATGTGTGATTCCTCCAAGCGCTGATATCCAATAAGGACGAACCGGATTTCATTAGCTCGAATGAGAATTTTGTATACAGTGCATCCAATCTGAACTTAGCTATGTTCATCTGTTCGAATGCTTCTTGCATCATGTACACAATTCTTGCCCTATTCGTCCTCTATATGATGATGATCGTAATGCTGCATTCCGTATTTATATTTACGATCTCATCACTAGAATAGATAAGGTCTTGCCCATCCTGTAAGAAATCCTCCAGTCTCGTAGAGGTAGGCATGGCCGATGCGTCCTGCGCTTGCTAATGTTGGAAACATCTCGTTACATGGGAGCTGCATCGCAAGCCAGACTGACGACTGTTCCTGTGCAATATTGAATGGCTGTTTATCTGCTACGCAATCAGTGCGCATTATTATTAATCAATCTCCTCTATCACATAATCAGAGAAGTCACGTAGAGCCGTAGAACTAGGACCAGAGCTCTACAGTACTGCGTACTCCTTCCGTCTCATTGAGTTTGTCGTTGGAAAACCGTGCCCCCCTTACAATCCCGCTTCCCGAGCGATAATCTTAACGGGACGGAGGGAGTATGTGCTTCCTCCAAGCTTTGACAGGAGAAAGAAGAACAATCACCAATGGAAAACCAACCAGCTTGTTTCAGCTGGCTGGACGAGTGTACCAGCCGAACACCCCAGTCAAAAGGACCAGGAGCAGTAACGTTTTACTGTCAGAAGGAGAAGAGAGAAGACGGGAGCTACTCCTGTGCACGGTGGCGTGCGTGCGCCGTGTAGTAGTAACGTTTTAACCCGGCGTAACCCAAGAACTTTTGGGGGTGTGTGTGGGTGGGGGGGGGGGGACGGAGCTACTCCTGTGCACGGCGGCGTGCGTGCGCCGTGTAGTAGTAACGTTTTAACCCGGCGTAACCCAAGAACTTTTTTTGGGGGGCAGTAGCAACCCGTGAGGGTCTGTGAGGGCACTGCTGGTACTGTACGACACATTGCCACTTCTGTTGAGGTCTGTGAGGGCACTGCTGGTACTGTACGACACATTGCCACTTCTGTTGAGGTCTTGCCGGACCTCGAGGCCGTGGTTCTGTCTCGTTCGACTCCTTGGGTGCGGGTTCTGTCTCGTTCGACTCTAAGGCCGCGGGCTCCTTCTCGTCCGATTCTAAGGTCACGGGTTCCGTTTTGCCCGACCGTCCGTCTCGTCCGACCCCAGAGACGCGGTTTCCGTCTCGTCTAAGGCCGCGGGCTCCGTCTCGCCTGACCTCTTGGGTGCAGGCTCCGTCTCGCCCGACCTCAAGGACGCGGTTTTCGTCTTTTCCGACGGAGACCCATACCGCCGCCAACCACTCTAGGTCCAAGCGTATGGGCCTGGGTCAAAACTCTGACACCAGGAAAGAAACTGGCACACCTCGATGTAATCAGTGGCTATGATGGGCCATACCCGGGTATTCACATCAAGAAAAGTGGCGGGCGTGCCGGTGCTGTTCTGCCTAACCCTAGTACGGACACCGACACGCGCGTCAGTTCACCACGACGTCCGCCGGGACGGAGTGGAACGCCATGCCCGGTAGATGATGCCTGTGCATGGCGCCAGTGACGAACAGGGCCGCGACGTGGAGCCGTCCCTGTTGACATCTACAGGATCGGCGGGACCCGCATGAAACATAAGGACCCGACGACCCTGGAAGCCTTCTTCTCTCTCTCGTTCTTCTCCTTTTTCTCCGTTGTAACCCGCGCTTTCCCTTCACCAATAAAAGGGGCGCCCGGTGTGGAGCCGTCCCTGTCACCATCTGCAATGTCGCGCGGGACCCGCATAAAAGAGCAGAAAGGCCCAGCGGTCCTGAAAGTCTTCCTCTCCTTGGCTCTTCTCCCTCTTTCTCTCTGTGTAACCTACTCTTCCCCTTCGTCTATAAAAGGGGAAGCAGGACGCCCCAGAAAGGGGACGGCGGTTCACCACTCTACACGGCTGTAGACATCAAAACACACGCCCTAACACGTCTTAGGACCACACGCACACCAGAGACTTGGGATCCTTTCCCTATCTCGCTCGTTTGTAACCCCTACAACAAACTTTCAGTGCTAGTAACACGAGTAGCAGCGACGAACTGGACGTAGGGACTTTCTGCACGAACCAGTATAAACCTCGTGTCCTCTAAGCACACCATCCGAGGCAGACGCGCAATACTAGAAATTTACTAGTTTGTAACTCGAAACACCGACAAGTGGCGTGCCAGGTAGGGGCTTTTTGCGCGTCTCGACGTCCATATCAGGCCTGGAATGGCTAGTCACGGCGTCAGCTAGGTCCCGGGCACGAACGTGCGCTTCGGGAACCTAGACTTCATCATCACAACGGAGAGAGAGTTGGTGCAGGCTCCCATCACCGTCCAACCTCTCCACTTCACCGGCCTCGACGCGATCGCCGAGGCGCTTGAGGAGCTGCAGCTGCACGCACCGGAGGCCCGCGCCTCCGGGAGCGACCAGCTCCTCGGCTTCGATTATGTGAGGCTAGAGCGCCAGCTCGGCGCCTTCCTAAGACCCGACTGTCCTGGGAGGATCTACGACGCCTCACCTTCTCGTTTGGCAACGTCATGACGTAGCTTGCCGGAGGAGAGCCGCTCTCCTCGGAATACCTCATCCAAAGTGTCCCGACAGCGCTCCCGTCCGGTCTCCGCAACGCCGTAGAGACCGTTGGGCACCTTGTGGCACAACGCACGCCCCCATCCCCTACGAACGACGAGTTCATGGGGATGACTGAATATGTTGCAGAATATTTCCACGACCTCCTCGTGGGAGAATCGGAGTCGCCCTCCGACTCAAACTCCAGCAGGGGGAGCCATCACCCTTTGCGTGAATGTTTCATGACAGGTACCCCCGAGGGATACATCGAAAGCATCCATGAGGGAGAGGCTACCCCAACAGACAACCTCGACGACGAGGTCGAGGGGGATGCAGGGGCCCCACCTCGCCTGCGGGTAGAACAGCTGAGGGCCCGGCACCAAGAGCTCGAAGAAGCACGACTCCAGCTCGAGTAGGAACGCGCGAAGCTCGAGCGAGAGATCAAGCTCCATGGAGACGGTGGGCGTGTGCGCGCCATGGCCTACGACGTGAACCGGAGGATCATCAAGGATGACGAATCCATCCCACACTTCACCCGGGCAAGCCAGAACATCACCGCTACGGCGGCCTTGCTCCGAGGGCTTCCGGAGCCCGTGACACCCAAGGATTGTCGGGCCCATCACGAGATTCACACTCTACTCGAGCGTGCGGCAGCGTAGCAGGCCAAAAGCTCGTTGTCCCGACGATGATGGCTCGACACCGGCCAGAGCGTGCCCTCAGAGCGCCCCGATAGGGATGTGTCAGTACACCAGGCGCAGCGAGGCGGCAGGCCGCGCGCCGTGATCCCGATGCATGAGCGTCTCGGTCTCCACCGTGTCGCGCTCAACACCCTGGATGCCCGCAGGCGTGCCCACGGCGATGCATGGGAGGAGGCTAGCCGCGGCTACCACCCTCATCATGGTGGACGCTACGACAGCGGCGAGGACCGAAGCTCGAGCCCCGACTTGCTGGGACCTCAGGCCTTTGGCCGACACATCCTCAACGCCGTCTTCCCACCGCGGTACCGACCGCCGACCAACATCCCAAAATACTCCGGGGAAACGAACCCCGGACTGTGGCTCGAGGGTTATCAGCTTGCTTACCAAGCCGGTGGAGTGGATAGTGACAATTTCATTATTCGCAACCTTCCATTGTTCCTGGATGATTCGGCGCGAACGTGGTTGGAACACCTTCCGCCCAACCGAATCCAAAGTTGGGCGGACCTAAAAGAGATCTCTGTGGGAAACTTCCAGGGCACATACACGCGTCCTGGGAACGCATGGGATCTCAAAAACTATCGACAGAAGTCTAGCGAAACTCTTCGTGGGTATATCCGGCGCTTCTCCTGGCAGTGCAACGAGTTGCCCAACGTCGCCGACGCCGACGTCAAGGAGCTTTCCTATCCGGGACCACCTATAAGTCCCTAGTTCACAAGCTAGGACGTAAGGACCCGTAAATCACCAAGGAGCACCTCGACATCGCCACCAACCACGCTTTCCACCAAATAGGAAAGCGCGCTCGCTGACTTCCTCCGCGCCAACAGAGACATCTATACGTGGAGACCCTCGGACATGCCAGGCATTTTGGGAGAAGTCACCGAGCACGCCTTGAAGATTGGGCCAGGCTCCAAGTCGGTGAAGCAGTGCATGCATCGCTTCGACGAGAAGAAACACAGGGCCATCGGCGAGGAGATTGTGAAGCTTTTGGTGGCCGGGTTCGTCAAAGAAGTATACCACCCCGAATGGCTAGACAATCCCGTTCTTGTACGGAAAAAGTGGGAAATGGAGAATGTGTGCTGACTACACGGGTCTCAACAAGGCGTGTCCAACGGATCCGTTTCCTTTGCCACGCATAGACCAAGTAGTCAACTCGGCCTCAGGGTGCGAAACCCTTTGCTTCCTTGATGCATACTCCAGGTGCCATAAAATCATGATGAAAGAGTCCGACTAGCTCACGACATCTTTCATCACCCCATTCGGATCGTTCTGCTACGTCACTATACCGTTCGGCCTGAAGAACGCGGGGGCTACATACCAACGCTGCATGCTCAAGTGTTTCAGGGATCTCATCGGGCAGACCGTCGAGGCCTACATAGATGACATCGTGGTCAAG